TATATAAATTAAACAACCATGGAGACATTACACATCCCTGTCTCAGACCTATTTTACCGGGAAGTATTCCTCTCCTCTCTTCTACACACCCTAACCCTAGCCTCACTATCCACGATAAAAGCTCTTTACAGCATTTAATAACGTACCACTTATTCCAATATACTTGCAACATCTGCCACATTTGCTCCTCTATCCACTCTATCATATGCTTTTCAAATCCAAAAATGTCAATAAAAACTTCCTACCTTTATCTAAATAACTGTCACATATATGCTTCAATGTAAACACCTGATCTACACATCCCCTACGCCACTCTGAAGGCCTCCCATGCTCATGCCGCAATCCTTCATCTGTCTTACCACTAATACTTATCAATATAACCAACCGTATCCTTTTCCTGGCTATACTCCAGTAAACTTATTCCTCTAAATTTTTAAATCTCTTTTGTCCCCTTTCCCTAAATAAAGGGACTATACATGATCAGTGGCCCCGGTAGCCTGGTGGCTGTGGGGGGGGTAGCTCCCGCTTCACACACGGAGGGCCCGGGTTCGATTCCGGGGTGGAAACCTTCGACACTGTTTCCTTACACCTGTTGTCCCTGTTCACAACTAGCAAGCAAATAGGTACCTGGGTGTTAGTCCAACTGGTGTGGGTCGCATCCTGGGGGACAAGATTAAGGACCCCCAATGGAAATCAGTTGACAGTCCTCGATGACGCACTGACTTTCTTGTGTTATCCTGGGTGGCTAACCCTCCGGGGTTTAAAAAATCCAACGAAATCTTATCTTAACTTATCTTATCCTCTCCCCAATCCCTAGGTACCTTCCCCTCTCTCAACATTTATTAAACAAAAGTACCAACCACTCCAACGTAAATATCCCCCCTGCTTTTAACATTTCTGTCATGATCCCAACAGTTCCAGCTGCTTTACCCCTTCATTTTACCTACGCCTCACGAACTTCCCCACACTCACAACTGGCTCTTTCCTCACTCCTACAAGATGTTATTCCTCCTTGCCCATACACGAAATCACAGCCCTTCCCTATCTTCATCAACATTTAACAATTCCTCAAAATATTCCTTCCTCTTCCCAATACCTCTAACTCTCCATTTAATAACTCTCCCCTCCTATTTTAACTGAAAAAATCCATTTTTTTCCTAGGCTTTCTTAACTTGTTATCTCACTCCAAAACTTTTTCTTATTTTCAACAAAATTTGTTGATAACATCTCACCCACTCTCTCATTTGCTCTCTTTTTACATTGCTTTTACCACTCTCTTAACTTTCTCTTTTTCTCCTATACTCTTCCTCCCCCCTTGCATCACTTCTACTTGTAAAAACTTTTCATATGCTAACTTTTCTCCCTTACTACTCTCTTTACATCATCATTTTCCCCCAAACGCTCCTCTTCCCTCCTGCACCCACTTTCCTGTAACCACAAACTTCTGCTGAACACTCTAACACTACATTTTTAAACCTACCCCATACCCTTCGACCCATTGCCTATGCTCTCATTAGCCCATCTATCCTCCAATAGCTGTTTTATATCTTACCCAAACTGCCTCCTCTTTTAGTTTATAAAAACCCTTTACCTCTCTCTTCCCTGATGCTTTTATTCTCCTTGTATCCCATCTACCTTTTACCTCGTGTAGCTACAACTAGAAAAGTGATCTGATATATCTGTGGCCCCTCTATAAACATGTACACCTGAAGTCTACTCAACAGTCTTTTATCTACCAATACATAATCCAACAAACTACTGTCATTTCGCCCTACATCATATCGTGTATACTTATTTATCCTCTTTTTCTTAAAATATGTATTACCTATAATTAAACCCCTTTTTTATACAAAGTTCAATCAAAGGGCTCCCATTATCATTTACACCTGCACCCCAAAAATTACCTACCAAAACCCTCTCTAAAGTTTCTCCTACTTTAGCATTCCCAAATCCCCTCCACAATTACTCTCTCACTTGGTTCAAAGGCTCCTATACATTCACTTAACATCTCCCAAAATCTCTCTCTCTCCCTCGCATTCCTCTCTTCTCCAGGGGCATAACACGCTTATTATGACCCACTTCTCGCATCCAACCTTTACTTTAATCCACATAATTCTTGAATTTACACATTCATATTCTCTTTTCTCCTTCCATAACTGATCATTTAACATTACTGCTACCCCTTTTTTGCTCTAACTCTCTCAGATACTCCAGATTTAATCCCATTTATTTCCCCCACTGAAACTCTCCTACCCCTTCAGCTTTGTTTTTTGCTTAGGGCCAGGACATCCAACTTCTTTTTATTCATAACATCAGCAATCATCTGTTTCTTGTCATCCGCACTACATCCACGCACATTTAAGCAACCCAGTTTATAATTTTTCTTCTTTTTTTTTTGTAATTGTATCAGAGAAGGGGGTTTTGCCCCTTGCTCCCCCGGGATTTTAGTGCCTCTACGACACGCTGGGTTTCGGAGGAAAGATTCTTTTCCACTTCCCCATGGACAATAGAAGA